CTCAGCGTGCTTTGTTTATCAGCTCGCGCACATCAGCTATACAGGCGTTAATACTGAATGTTTAACATTATATTCATTGCATACATATACTTCATAGTAGACATCCTTAAGTCCTTTCTGCTGTCTGTTGTTCTGTTGTCGGTGTTTCTTTGTTTGAATATGGCCCTTATCACATGCTGTGTGGTATCGGCGTTTGGCATTTTAACGAGTACGAGTACAGGAGACCAGTATCAGGCCCGATACCGATACCAGTATCGGTGCATCCCTAATATATATATATATATATGTTCTGTTGTCGGTGTTAATATGGCGCTTATCACATGCTGTGTGGTATCGGCGTTTGGTATCGGGGCATTTTAACGAGTACGAATACGAGTACAGGAGACCAGTATCGGTATCGGTGCATCAGTATCGGTATCGGTGCATCCCTACTAGGAAGGGGCTTCCCGACGGGACCAAAAACTAATAGGCTACCGTTACTAGATAGACAGGTGAACCTTCCTGCAAAGCTGCCCAGACCACAGAAAGTGGGCTATCTACTTAAGACCCTAGCAGGGGAGACAGCACTGTCTAGGTAAGGGCTCAAGGAGACTGCTACTTACAAACCCTAAGAAGGGAAGCAATCACCGAGCTGTCACACAGCTAATCCCACACAGTTAGCCTAATAACCAGGTAAACCTTCCAGTGAAGCTGCCTAGAACAAAAGATTGGGCTATCTACTTATGACCCTAGCCGGGGAGATAGCACTGTCTAGGCAAGGGCTCAGGGAGACTGCTACTTAAAGGCCCTAAGAAGGGGAGCAGTCACTGAGCTAGCACATAGATATCCTTAGATAGCTATACGTGTAGGAAGGGCTACCAGAAGGGGGACTGACTGAAAATACCCAGACCACTGAGAGTGGGCTAATTATAGACCCCATAAGGGGAGACAGCACTATTTAGGCAGGGCTCAAGGAGCTAGTACATAGTTATCCTCCAATTGCTATGTTTCCGGGAAAGGGCAAGGTAAAACACAGCTAGCCTCTGATAGCTGTATTCAAGTAAGTCTGTCCTGCCATGACAATGGCTGAAATATAACCATCCTAAGATGGCTATACTAAGGAGGTTCCCAATCAGTGTCAGTCCCACAGTAGGCTAGCGAGCACTGTATATTGACCAGAGGCTCACAAGAGGGAGATTCAGACCATAGTAAATGATTCGCTAAAGAGCGAACACATAAAATACCATTAGTCCAAGATCAAAGCAAGCAGCGGCCATAACACTACGTGGCTGGACACAGCTATCCTTGAATAGCATTTCCCTCAGATAAGGCTGAAGTTTGCAAAGACTTCAGCGCTTACCTGAGAGAGCTTGTGCCAAGGGGAACCCAACCTAGTCAAATTCGGAAAAAACGAAACAAAAGATTCTCCATCCGGCCCTCCTCCGGGGGAGGGAGTGGTGCGTTCACCATCTCCCGAAGAGCAGATCCTTCCATCTCTGGGTCGCCTGTCTCAGGGCCGCTTGCTTCTCCGCTTGCCGCCAGGTTTGACGGGGGCCTGGACAGACGGGGCGGCCTGCCCACGCCCGGCTCCACGACGCCACTTTGCTGAAGGCTGCTGTGGATGTGGTGCGGGAGTGGGGGCGGACGCGGGGGCCCGCCCTCGGCAATGAGCAGGCTGGGGAGCTGTGCCTTGAATACATATTGTGCCTTGAATATATGACCTCGCGATCTCGCATGCTTGGAGCTAAAAACGATATAGCAACACGAGCATTATCCGTGGCAAAAGCATTATCCGCGGCATCAGGCAACCCGATTGTATAGGGTATGCGGACACTGCAGATCAGAGCAATCGCCGCGAGTTGAGATAGACCGTTCCGTGGCCAGAGACACAAATGCTTTGCCCCGCATCCCTCGGGAATAGGAACAAGCGCGAGCGTAGCGTTATCATTGTGACTCATCTCAATGAGCGCGTAGATGCCGAGACAAAAGCCCTGTTTCCACCGCAGGAACTGTAAAAATTTGCCCCTCAGAGAGTCCCTGCTCGTGAGGTAGTACTTTTTCAAAGGTCCGGAACTTTTGGGGGCGGGACTTGGGCGCTGAACATGCTGATTGGTTGAGTTCACGCAGCATTGTATTTCAACCACCATTTATTCGCATAATTAAAAAAAATATATTACTGTTATTGTGTCATGAAATGTAGTTTTAAAAGTATTTCAGGCGAGAATACAGTTGTTTAAAACAAAAATCTGCTGTTTATTTATAAAGACAGCGCCTACTTGAAAATGTGCTTTGCCGATGTCTCTGTAGTGGTTAAACATAAGATATAATTCGTTTTGGGTAAATCTAGCAGGTAATCTTTGGTCTTTATTCTATTAATCTATTAATATGTTAAATTGAAAATGAAAAGGCAATACTGTTTGATATAATATTTTGTTTCATTGTAAATATATGTACCGTTCCCTGAACTACATTTATGCGGCTATTAATATGTTTAAATGAAAATGAAAAGAGGCAGTGGTGTTTTATATCATATTTTGTCTTTTTGTAAAAGGAAAATTGCAGTAGCCAAGGCGAGCTGACTGATGTTATCAAGTACGCTGCTGTTTGCAGAATTACCAGACTTGTGTCGTTCCGTCCACAGGAGTTCACACTCCCGAGTCGATCTCGCGAAGTCTGAACTACCGAGGATGCAAGTCCGAAATTTGTGCACTTGGTATTGAGAAATGCGCGCAGACCTACGTCACCAGACTATTTGCCTAATATTCTTGGTACTTTAGACCGCAATGGAAACACAGACAGCAATAGGTCTGGGGGAAAAAAGTTCCTGGGACAAATTGTTCCAGGTAATTTCGGTGGAAATGCGGCTAAAGATGCAAAAGTTAGAATATGCCCTCAAGTGTTAGAATCCAAACACGGAGGCACACATTCCTTAAAGCGCTGCTCAACTCACCAGGATGAAATTTCACACATGTGAACAAACAGACAGCTCCGAAGACAACAAAAGTTGGTGACGTATTCAGCAGGTGCCCTTTATACTTTCGGGTACCTGCCTATAACGTCACGGATGGCAAAGTTGATATTTAATGTTTGCACTGTAATATAAATTCATAAACATGGTCCACGTGGACCAATAGGATTGGAGTTGTTTTACACATGCTTCAGACACTGGTCATGCTGGCAGCATTCCCCAAAGTGTCCCCTAGAGGGGGATGCAGCTCGAAGTTCCCTTGAAGGGGAAATATTATTAGTCACATTGAAAAGTGGTAAAATGTGAAACATTTATATTCAGAGTAAAGATAACCAGCACTCTGTCATTTTCTCCAGGTAAAATGTGAGAAGTACTGGCCATCAGCGACTAATCATTATCAAAACATCTCTGTGACAACTACCTCAGAGATAGAACTGGAGAGTTGGACCATAAGAGACTTCGGAATAAAAAATGTAAAGCAACACTTCCTGCACCTGATATCTCCATTTATTCCTTCAGCAGCATACAGGAGTGGAAACATTTTGTTGTTGTTATAAATCAGTGATATTATACAATAACATGACTGATAATTCTGTAGGTAAAAACAGCAGAAACTCGTAACATATGCCAGTTCCACTTCACGGTGTGGCCAGATCATGGAGTTCCACAGACCACTGAAGTCCTCATTGATTTCAGACACCTGGTTAGAGAACACATGAACCAGTACTCACACCACTCTCCAACTGTAGTGCATTGCAGGTAAATGAGGTTCCTATTGACAAGTGTTTATGAATTTATATTACAGTGCAAACATTAAATATCAACTTTGCCATCCGTTAGATTAAACTTTCATCTTATTATTTGACCCTCACATTTTTAGTGCCGGTGTGGGAAGAACGGGGACCTTCATTGCCATTGACCACCTGATCTTCCAGATTGAAAGAGACAGCATGGTGGACATCTACGGAATCGTTAATGATATGCGCATACACAGGCCTCTCATGGTGCAGACTGAGGTAAGGGACTGTAGAGTAATTTTCTAGAGGGACCAATACAAGTTAAGCTTGTACTTCCTCTAAAAAATTTTTTAAAAGTTACAGTGAGGCGCTTACATTGGTAGTAAATGCAGCCAGTTTTTAGAGCAGAAATATGAGACTTACAATTTTGTAAAAGCACTTACTGTAACAAAGCAGACTGAGCCAGATGACTTTTAAACCCAAGTGCTTGGATTCTTTATTGAACCCATGGGTGAACAGCAGGTGGAGCAGAAATGATGGTATAAATCTGACACAGATGTAGAAGATGACACAATGATTATGCTGTTGGTAATGATGATACACACAGAGGAACCATGATAGAGTCATGAAGAGAACACTACTGAAGGGTAGTGCAATCAGAGAGTCCTCTATGTAAGACTAGACAATGAGGGTGAGTATGTGATGAGTACAGTATATATGGAGTCCTTGATGAGCGGAGTGGAGAAGGGGCGCTCTGGTTAACCACATCCCTGAGGAGCTGGATGGTTGGGATAATTGTAGTGGAACACAGTGAGTTGGAATGGTCCAGCCTTGGAAGTCCGGGATGGTCCACAGGAATGGGCCAGTGTACTGAGGACATTACTTTCTGCATGGAAAACAGAAACATAGTTTATGTGTAGATAACCAGACATTCTGTCTGGACTGGTGGGAAGAGGTGTCTGATCACTGGGCATCAGAATGGCCTTTCTGAGGCCAGACAGTACACTGGCGGAGACAGTTTTGGGCATATTCAGCTCAGGGAAGGAAGTGACTCTAGTACTGCTGATGTTCATGGCTGTAAGTTTTGAGAAACTGGGAGACTGGGCATGATAGACTGTAAAAAGCTTGGCAATAATGCCCAGCAACTTGAATAAAGCTTCTGGAATTGGCATATGAATTGTGCCATCAGGATACAGGTTTGACTACTGAGGGAGGAAGGTTGGTCATGAAGTCCACATCTAGATGTGACCATAGATGGTGAGGAGTGGGCAGTGGAAGGAGCTTTCAGCTGGAAGGTTGTGAGGGACTTTGGACATGGTACAACCTGGGCAAGGGATTTGTGTTGTCCCTGGATGCCCAGAGCCCAGGCTTGGGTTTTTATTCACCCAGGGTCCACTGGATGGGGCTAATGGCAGAAGAAGGAAGAACAAATTCTTGAAGAATGGATTCTGTGCAGAGATTGGAGAATCAGTAGAATGGAGGCGTGAGTGCATTCGTGTTAGTATTTTTGAAGCCCAGATGATACATGAAAGAAGCTGAATCTAGAGAAGAACAAGGGCCACCAGGCCTGGTGAGGGTTTGGGGTTCAGGGATTCCAAGTTGCAATGTGATGACCTGGAACAAATGGTTGGAACCCTCAAACTAGTGGTGACACTCCTTAAATGCTTGCTTAAGTAACTCCCAGTTGCTAATGTCATGCTTCTGCTTGGAGAAAATGGTGTGCTGATGGGTGTTGAGGTGAATGCTTTCTTTAGTTGCTAGAAGGCTTGAGCCACTTCAGATGGTGAGGGCAATGACAATGGAGCTGAAGTTTCACAATAGGCATCGGTCAAAGTTTGAGAAGCTGAGGAACCATCCTTTATTGATGGTTGGGGGGGAGGGAGGGGGGGGGGTCCATCTGGACCAATGATGTATCCAAAGGCCAAATTATTCTGTTGAAAAGTATGTATTATTTTAACTGTAAAACTGTTAAAATAATCACTGTAGGAGGACGAGCTGTCACAATGAAGTTGTAAAATTGGTTACACAGAAAAGCAGTAATAAGCTATTTTTCTCATATATGTATGTATGTTAACATGATAACATGCTTATTGTTTAGATATTCTACTTAACTATACTACTCAGCCAAACACTGTAACCTCTTACTTATTTAAAAAAAGGAGGGACAAGTGGAAATTATCTTTGTAGTAATCAACATTACGAAACAAATATTATCAATTGAGCTTAATTTGTATTGAACCCAGAATATTCCTTTAAGATGACATTTACAAAGAAGTTGGTGCTGACATTTGTTGTTCATGGGAACTTCGAACTGCGTCCTCTAGGGGTCGCTATGGGGAACGCCTCGTCGTGACCCGTGTCTGAAGCATACATTGAAAAAACACCAACTCGTTGGCCGGCGACAGCCATGACGTCACTACCGGTGCGACTATAGTATAAATAGGCGCCGGGAGCACACATCATTCTCTTCTTCGTCTTCATTGACTGTTTTGTTTGAAGTGTGCATTTCTGTGGTAAGAGCGATCTCTATTCATCTCATTATGGCGAGCACTAGCAAAGCGTTTAAGGATGTGTGCATCCGTGTTGACGTTGTTTAACATCTGATGACACACACGATCTATGCGTTATTTGTTTGGGCGAAGAGCACACACGCGATGCCTCCGAGGAGGCAATCGGCAAGTGTCTCGTTCCCTACTCAGGGAACCATGGTTACATAAGTAACCTGAGACGTTCTTATACAATGGAACTGCCACTTATAATAAAGAAGACACATATTTTTACACTATTTTCTGTTGTTGGTTTTCTTTCTGTTTTCTACAACAGGAGCAATATGTTTACCTCCACCAGTGTGCGCATAACATAATTCGATCAAGAACGGGAACCAACATGGACTTAATTTACCAGAACGCAGTAGAGCTCAGTATCTATCAGAATCAAAAATTGTAAATGTAGATGGCCTCAAGATAGCCCTTGTCCAACAATCAGAGAAATTTAAGACTGCATAAAGCACATTTTAAGTTTCATATATACATATGTCCTTTATATATAGTTGGATGTATTTATTTCTTGTACAATACTCCAAACTTTTGAGTAATATTTTAATTTTAACGAATACATTTAAAAGATTACACTGGAAAAATGCAGCCATTTTCTATGATAACAATTTAAAATAAACAGAAAGAAATTGTATTTATGATAATTCAATCAAGAGGTCTTTGTTTCAAAATGTCCAAAAGAGATATTTGTATAATTTGACATCATATATTTACTGCAATATCAAAAATCTGTACATTTTACTACTGATATGATTGTATATGGAATCCCAACTTTTATAACATGTTTATATTTTCAAAGTTATTTAGAAGAATATTGTCACACACACACTGTTTGGACTGTTTTCATTCTTTGCACAATTTCCCTTAGTTGTCATGGTTGTTAATTGATTTGTAATTTAGTTCAGCTGTGTGCACCTCGTTATCACCCGTACTTGTTATATCTGTTTCTGTTCAGTTTGTCCTGCCTTGTCAATGCTTTGTGGATGTTAACATGTGTTTCTGTTGCCTGAGACTTATATTAAAATACTTTATTGATCCTTTTCTTTGTCATCTTTGTGTTCATGTTTAATACAAACCGTGACAGAAGGCAGGGCCAGCTAAGATTTTTTTTTTTTTTTTTTGGTTATTGAGTTCACATTTTTTTGTTATGTTTTCCCATCATCATGAACATCCTTGCAGTTCGCCTGTTGTGCCTTTAGCAGGGAAATCATTCCTTCGAGGAATTATATTCAATTCAGTTCAAGTTTATTTGTATAGCACTTTTTACAATACAAATCGTTGCAAAGCAACTTTACAGAATATTACATTTCTACAATATTTAGTAGTAGCTTATCAGTGGTGACTGTCAGTTTATGTACATATAACCCAAGCTAAGGAATAATAATGTGCATTTGATCAGATATGACTGCAGTACAAGATTATGAGATGCATTATTTGAATGCTTGGCCAAAGAGATGTGTCTTTAATCTAGATTTAAACAGAGAGAGTGTGTCTGAACCCCGAACGTTATTAGGAAGGCTATTCCAGAGTTTGGGAGCCAAATGCAAAAAAGCTCTACCTCCTTTAGTGGACTTTGCTATCCTAGGTACTACCAAAAGTGCAGAGTTTTGCAACTTTAGGGAGCATGATGGATTGTAGCGTAGTAGAAGACTTGTTAGGTACGCAGGAGCTAAACAATTAAGGGCCTTGTAGGTAAGTATACTGAGTAATCTGTGTTAGTGAGCAGTTCTCCTTTGCCGAGATAATCCCTCCACCTCACAGGTGTGGCATAATTGGACAGCACAAGTACTTCTGTCATTTAAGCGGGTAGAACAAAAGTCATCATAGCAGTTATTTGAGAATTGGCTTACTAGTCATATGGAGCGTAGCGTCCTGGAGATGTTGTCCGACAGGAGTTCCACTCCGACTCTGCTGGGGTGCAGGATCAGCGTGAAAAAGCCTAGGACGCTTCCAGAAAAGATTCCAATTATTAACTAAGAACAGTTTCTGTTCTTTACACCATGACAATAACCATTCACTTAAAGCAAAAAGTCTACTAAACCTTTCGTATTCTCATCGATACGTGGGAAGTGGTCCTGACATGATGATCGTTTTCGCGGGCGATGTGCTGTGCACCGTCTCGATCAGGAACGTGTCCTCACCTGCACTCAAAGGTAGACACACATCCGCCATTAAAGCAAGTAACAGTGAGTAAAACAATGGTAATGTGTGTGAATAGAGTATTAGCAATGTTAGCGAGATTAGCGGCAACCACGCCGGCGATGCTAGCGGGCTATTTGCTAATAGCGGACTTGGGAAATCAAAATAAAACTAGTGATAAGGCGCTCTGATTGTTTTTGTTGTAGAATACGATAGAGGATATATTCACACGTTATAGAAACAAAAATTATGGTGTATAAAATTGATTTTAAGATTAAAAAATAGACGATAACGAATTAACTTGACGGAGCTCAAACTCAAAACACACGGCAGCAACAAATCCGTCAACACCTAGGAACACCTAGAAGAATTCCTCGACCTCACATATCAAACTACCTTCCCGGACAATAGTTTATGTTCATTTATGTATGTCAGCCTGAACACCCCCACTAAGGCGCAGTTGTCCGGGGAGGGTCCTCGAGGGAGTTTTTTCGATTTTGTGGAGTGGGTGCTGGTGTCCTGTGGATCACCGTTCACTGTCAGACCTATTGACGACGCCAATCACAATCCAGAGCCCAGCCAGAATCTCTCCAACTGCAAGGAATGGCAGGAGCGACCAAGCAATACATACTCATGCAATAGAGCATTAGCGGAGTCTTTCTGACCAGGTGTGTGAGCCGGCTGTCCTAGGCATTACATATGCTATGGATTTGCAGGCTGTTTGCTGCCCTCCGTCCCTTCACTCTACGACTCCGGCTAGCTCCATCCTACCTTAGGCTCTACCTCTACCCTTGGTTGCTCCAGTTCCACCTCAGCATTCCAGATGTCCACTTCCATCTTGAGGGGTCGTCGCTGTGGCTCCGTCATTGCCGCCTGGACCAGGGGTTTTCAAATCTGTCCTGGAGGACCCCCAGCCCTGCACATTTTGTATGTCTCCCTCATCTAACACACCAGATTCAACTCATCAGCTCATTAGAAGAGAATGCAAGACCTGAATTGGGTGTGTCTGATAAGGGAGACATAAAAAATGTGCAGGGCTGGGGGTCCTCCAGGACAGTTCTTCGTATGTCTCTTATTACAGCCGAGATCAAATGACACATCCAAGATGATATCATTGCACTAATCATGATCTGGCTAATTCGGTTCTTCGAATGTATCTGTTGTTGATGATTAGTATGGCTGGGTTGAGCTATCTGAGATAATTGCATGTTCATGGGTTGGTTTAAAAGGGGCTATGTATCGATAGTAGAATAACTGATTAGCAACACTGCTTTTGGCTGCTCACCATGGCCAAAGAGCATGCTCAGTTTTTCTTTACTTTCAAAAAGACTGTGAGATAATTTGTTTGTCTGGTTATAACAGCCACGAAGAAAAAGGTTGAGGAAAAAAAAGAAAAAAAAAACAGGTGGTGGTCCTGCAGCCCCATGTTACACTGTGGCCGAAGAGCAGGCCCATTGTTCAGGGCATCCCTGGGGGCAGCTCATCCTTAGATGCATAGCAGCACCTTCATTACTGGTAAATGAGCTTTTATTTGTCTTTGTTCACTCTACAATAATTGGTTGCTGCCTTAGGCCTACATTAAATCCAAAAACAGACCTTCCCAAAAACTCTCCTCCGGATTCACAAATGCTTCGTAAACTTTCGATTTGATAGTTAAACATGTATGTTAATGCATTCCAATCATTCGTAAATAGGGCGCTCCTGCACGCTCATTCACAATTAGCATAATCCTTGTCTATGAATTATAGCTATGCAAATTACGTGTCCAGGAACGCAGTATCATATTCTGGTCTACTTTCTCAGGTTTGGCTCCAGTATATTGCATAAATGCAAAAAAGACTAGTAGGCCATATGCCTAACAATAAATATTCAATAACGTGTGTTCACCGAGCGGCAACCTTCTCTCTCATGAAGTCAACACGGAAGTGACTAAAACTGCAATTCATCGACTGGCCGCTAGAGGCTGGCTCCAAAAGGGAGTCAGTCCCATAGACTCCCCATGTTAAAATACCCAACTTTACAGCAGAAAAAAAATGTGTTTACAGCCTGGTACAAAAAGTGGTTTTGGTCTATATAGCTAATTTTGCCCTTCATGACAACTGTGAGGGGGGTGAATATTTTTATAACTCATCCGTTTAAATTATATTAAGCCTTAAAGTGCTGCATAATTAAGGGCGTGGCCACTTGCTGCTGTCACCGCCGTCAAGCTAGGTGGGCGTGGTTTTAGCAACCTTTTACCTCCCGCTCTCTCTCGTGAAGCCAACAAGGAAGTGACTTAAACTGTAATTCATCAACTGGCCGCTAGAGGCTGGCTGCAAAAGGGAGTCAATCCCATAGACTCCCCATGTTAAAATACCCAACTTTACAGCAGAAAAAAAATGTGTTTACAGCCTGGTACAAAAAGTGGTTTTGGTCTATATAGCTAATTTTGCCCTTCATGACAACTGTGAGGGGGGTAATTTTTTTTATAACTCATCCGTTTAAATTATATTAAGCCTTAAAGTGCTGCATAATTAAGGGCGTGGCCACTTGCTGCTGTCACCGCCGTCAAGCTAGGTGGGCGTGGTTTTAGCAACCTTTTTTTTTTTTTGGTTTTAGCAACCTTCCGCTCTTCGGAAATCTACGGGTGACGTCACGGACACTACGTCCATGTTTTTATACAGTCTATGGTGTCCACCAAAGAGTTTTTAGCCAGCTGAAAAATGTCCAGCGCTCTTCTTAAAACGACCAGCTGGTGGCGCTTGAACACATTTTGGTGGCACAGCATTTTTCCAGCTGAGACGCTTTGGTTGTTATGATTTGGAATATCCATGGCAGCAAGGTATTAGTATCTAATTTTTAAGAATTGTACTCAAAAAAAAAAAAGCAGTAACCAGTAATATTGACTTCTCCATTGTTGTAGACAGTCATTGTACAAGTAGGATGGTTGGTCAGTATTTGTCCCACCCCTCCTCTATTTACGGCTGGGTAAATAGTGACAGTGACAAGCGCTGCATTTTACAGTTATCAACTCATCTACAAAAAAAAAAAGGAAAAGAAAAAAAGAGGACAAGAGCAAATTAAATTGTAAAATATATTTTATAAAGCACTATCCATTCCATTTTTACTGTTAATGCTTTTCTTTGATCAACACATGCAATACTTTTGACATTTTTATAAAAAAAAAAAAAAATCCCACTAATATAAATGGCAAGCATCTAC